TTTCTCCACAAAAGTTATATTAAAGTTTGGTCCAGGCCGTTCATCATATCATGTGTTTTTTTTTCTCGAGACTCGCGGCCGCCGCCGGATTAATTTATATATATTTTTGCACCCCCTCGCTCGGCAATAAAGCATTCGGGTTGGTTAATTATTGAAGTGCGCCGGCGGAGTTTGGCGGACGCCAGATGCTGCGAATTAAAGGAGGAGCAAGATGTTGCAGCCCGCGCTGGCCATTTTAATTAAATCTGCTTCAACCACGCGATGCACTCTCGCCCAGTGTCATATGCAGGCAGAGACAGCCCGTCGAGTTTTGAATGCCAATTAATTAATCCAGGCACGAGTGGCGGCGGCGACCAACCCTCCTCTACGATTGTCGCAGATAAGCTCCATAACAACAATTAAACTGCAATCAGAGCACAAATTGCTCAGATTCAAGAGCATCAGTTACTAACAGAGTTGAATGATCTCAAGCTCGGAAAGCGTTCACAATTGAATTACAAAATGCAAAAAAAAAAAATATTTAAATGAATTAGTAAAATCTTTAAAAACCTAAATATAATTTTCAATTCCTTTTTTTTTAATTGGAAAAAGTCCCATATAATTTATTATTTCTGAAAACATTAAAACCCTCGAAAAATAAATTATAAAAATAAAATTTTTATTTTTGGAAAATGAATGAACTCTTGATTACCTGATATAATTTTACGAAATAAATCAGAATTCATAGAGATGCTCTCCTATAATTAAATTTTCGTCAGTAATAATTAGACGCTTTCTCGAAACAGATCAATCCGAGTGCAGCCTCGAATTTTGTTTGCCCAAAAATAAACAACGATAAATCTTGGCAGCAACGGGATTTCTAATTGAAGATGCGTGTTTTGATGGACTCTGTGTGTTCTAATTAAGAATGTGTGCTCTCGCCCGCTTGCTCGCACAGAAAGTTTCGTCTCTCAAAAGCTGCTCTTGGGCGCCCGCTCTCCTAATCTCGAAATAACTACTTTTCACACAGCGTACACAAAGTTGGTTCCTTGAGCGAGGCGCGTCGGGCTTACCGTGGCAGACATGAGACAAGTGTTTCACATCAACAATGAAAAAGGGTTGCACAACGTCTTGATACACAATGATGCAAATTGCCAACAAAGTCGAAACTGCCATTTTAAATATTCAATACTAATTTTAATAATTATTCAAATTCCAACCATCTTATTACAATTATTTAATATGTAATGCACTAAGCCGATAAATATTTAAAATTTTATTTTAAGGTAACATAATTTTTTTTTTAATTTAAAAAATGTTAAAAGTAATTAAATCAAATAAAAAATTAGAAAAACCAGAATTGAAGGCATTTTAAGGGAAAAATTAAGAGTTTATACTGTATACAAGTTATTTTTTTCTGTAAAACTTTTTTTAAACGCGTGTAACATAAATGTGCTGTACATAAACTAAATTTACTTTTTTATTTTAAATGCACATATCCCTAATGGTACGAGTTTGCGAAGTCTTACTTGACTTACAGACGGAAAGTGCATTTGAGTCCAAGTTTGCGTGCAGAAATGAAGACGAATAACGAAAGTGCAGCGGCATCTCTCTTTTATAAAAACGTATAGTGCACATGCAAGGGTGGTGCCGAGCGGCGCAGCATCTCAGCCAGGGATGAGTTACGACCCACCATTCATTTTCTAAATAGAACTGCTCGGTGATCCGTTAGTTTTATATTATAATGGATGGTTTGTGTGGCTCAAGAATAAGTTTTGATCAAGTAAAAAGTTTTCGCCCATTCATAATGGAGCGGAGAAGAAGCTGGCTAGTGGATGGAGAAAGAAAGATGCGCCAGCCAGCCAGGGTAACCCATCGTCTCCCAATACATTATTCTCGCTCGGCCACAATGATGCTCGTGCTTTTCCATTTGCCCGGCACCAGCAGCAGACTGCTGAAGAAGTGCATTTATGGCCGATGGATTTATAGGTCACCGAGAATTATGGTGCACACTTATCCAAACAAATGCAGCAAATATCTCTCGGCGCGCGAGAGCTCAGCACAGACTTTAATATCTTATCCTTGGATGCATTTCTTATTCTTGGGAAATCTCGTCGCACAGACGCAAGCGGTGCTCTTTTCTTCTGCATGTGTGTAAATATATAAATTTTCGCACGTACGGACGTTGAAGAAGTGGGAGAGAATTTGTTCAGGATTGAATTTTTATAGGGTGAGAAGAGGTGATTCTGCGATTAAAGGATTAAGTCAGTTTTAAGTGAAATTTTAAAAGACGAATTTCAATTTATAAAAAGAAATAAAGTGAAAGATTAAGTTGAATTTTGTTCTTTTTAAATATTTTTATATTCAATTGTCTACTTTCTGTTACAAGTATTTAAACACTTGATCCACATTTCAAATAATCCTGTTTTTCAAGTATTTATGTTGCAATAATGAATAAATTTGAAATCAGTTTTAATTCAATTTAATTTATATTTTCTAAAAAAAGGAAGTTTTTAATAATTACTAAATCAAAAGTCAATTTTAACATTCTGTTTCAAATTTGAATTAATTTACATACTTATTAATTTTGACATTTTTATGATTAAATTTACTCTGTATTTGTAAATTTCATCCTATAGAAATGTAGAAAATTTAATCCTCTTAACCTATATATGCACACCCTATGAATTCAAGACACAAAAAGAACCGATCAAAATGCACTCAGCACTTCTTCAACATTTTTATTTTTTATTTTCTGCAAGTTGAGCAAGGTGCATTTCAGCGCCGCGAGAGCACATTTGCAGAATAATCGCATCATCGCTGCATTCGCACACACTGAGCTCCGATTCTCGTTTTTCTTCCGCTGTCTCTTCTCCATTTGCGACCAAAAGAAAAGAGTTTTGCGTTGCTGTCAGATTCGCGAGATTCATGGTCGAAATGCCCTGAATTTGAGTTCAGTGAGGCATGCATGCACTGCATATAGCACACACACCCCATGTTACATATTATGTGTTTGCCTTGGCTGGCAATGTTGCGGAAACTTCGCCGTCCTTTACAGCAGATCTGATTTCGCAACGAGTCACGCAAAGTTGGCAAACATCAATTTATCGTAGAAAAATTAGAAATATTTTATAGGGAATGATGAAAAATTTAATACAAATTTCGTTAATATGAAGTGTAGCAATACAATTTTTTATAATGATTATTTTTTTAAATCAAATTAAAATTTTAAAAGAACTTACTATTATTTTATCGAAATAATCAGATAGAAAAAATCTGCTTTTTTGATAATGTGAAGAAAACAAATTTTATGTGTAATTTTTGTACCGATTGGGATCATTACTGCCAACTATTGTGAAAAGAGAGCAAAATGTTTGTTAAATTTGTAAGAATTTTATTATGGCAAAAAGTGCTTTTATCTGGCAGTGCCAAAAGAGGCTGCAAATGGAGGCGTAGAGGCTGTGAAAGGGCAAAAACGGCCCCTCTCGCATTTTTCTGAGGCTTTTTATCAACTTCCTCCAGAAAGTTTCGCGCGAGATTTATTTGAGACAACAGTCAGAGTTGCTCTTTTTATTTATTTGGCTTGCTCTCTCGTGCTGTTGTATCTTTTTTGCTGACGCCGAATAGGGCTTGCTCGTGTCGTTTTTGCTCCTTTTCGTGCGCTCGTGTCGCATTCTCTGCCGTAATATACTTTGTTGCTCAAATTGAGAAATGCCGACGTGTTTCATTCATATCTCTTTCTCTCTCTCTCTCTTGAAAAAGGTGAGACGCAATTCGCAGTGGAAATTATGGACTGCTAACACAATACTGCAGACCGGGCGAGAATTGTGCGCCTTTGCAGATGAAATGTACTCGCGATTTATCACACACTCCGTAAATTCAGGGGCGTGTTTGGAATTTATAAAAACGCGACGAGACCGCCGGAGCGTCCTTTCTGATGCACGACCGCGGCGACAAATTTTGACAATTGCCTGCTTTGTTTTCGGAAATTGCACGATTTTCATTCGGGAGAGAGACGTTGATCGATGTCCTCCGGACTTGGTCGTGTCTTTCTCTGCGAAAATAAAAGATTATATAATATAAGGGACGCCTCCACCCCAAAAAAGTGCAAAAATATGCTTTTGTTGGAGGCAGCGCGGCGATAAATCACAGGGACGCATCATAAATTGCACGAGGAATGAATATTTCGGCCATAATTCACGCCTCGGGCATATTTCTCTCCTACTTATATGCAGAAAAAGTTTCTTTTTTGTGACTGGAATTTGAAATTCAAGAGTCCCTGCCTCTTCCTTTCTCTGCTCGCTGCGAACAGATACGCGCGTATTTCTAATGCAGGCCGCCACCGCTGCTACGAAAATTGGCCATTTTTCACAGAAGTATTACACATCATTGCTGATTTATTGCACATATTAAATTTGTCTTGGGGTGCTCCTCTTTTCCGCTCTCGCACACACTAGCTTGAACCCAAACCCATGGCATGCCACATAGAATTGTAGAAGGAGAGGTGTGTGCGTGTCTTCCACACGTGGTGTTCAAATAAGCATATTTATTATAAATAATTTTAAAACAAAATACTAAATTTTAAATTTAAATCCGTGCATTGGGTCCAAAATGAACAATTTTTCATTCTGTCACAAAGATCAAATTATTCTTCTCTTCACAATAAAAGAAGAAACAATCGTGAGGAAAATTGAATTGTATTTAATTAATTAATGTGAGTCCTGAATTGCTATTTGTTTGCAGATTCTGATTGTTGATGTGCTTTGAACTTGATTAATAAATTATTTTATCTTTATAAATTATCAATAGTGATCAAACTTCCTCTTCATAATTTTCTTATAATTTATTCATAATCTATTTCAGTTTGAATGATTATTTATTTAAAATATTATGTGGACTCTGTGCACGATGAAATTTTTAATTGGATACGATTAATTATTGTTAAATATAATATTATAATTAAGATCAAATTTTTAGTACAAAATAATCACACCTCTTTTTCTTTTGTTCTATCGTTGCAGAAAACCAAAGATATCACGGAGCGATGCTGCACCACAAATACGATCACTCTTCATCCGTACTGCCACGTAACGTATACGACGACGTCAAACCAATCATCTCGGAGGAGCCGCAGCATAGCACTTCGCTCATTGAGTAGGACGCAAACGTTACAATTGTGTCAGTGCGCGCAGATTCACCTCGTCCGGACACTGAATTCTCTAGACTGTGGCGCGGGGTGTCTGATTGAATATTCACGTCATCGGTTGTGCCAATTTAAGTTTAAGTTTTGTTGTTTCGCGAGCGGACACGCGACGATCGTGCTGCACTTCTACTTTCTCGACAGACAGCCTGAGTTGTTCAAATCGTGTGCGTTTTTTGTGAATATTACATACACTATGCATTACTACATACGTAAAAATACTAAATAGATTACTACGAATTACGATCTACGCTGTAGAGGGTATTATTATTACGCAAAACATGCATACTCTTGCTACGATGATGCTGAATACCGATTTACTACCATTACGAAGAAAATAAATAAAAAAAAGTATCCAATAAATAAGCCGAGCCTAACAAAAGTGCAAAGACATCAACTCTCTCGAGATACGTAATTGCTGCATTAATTAATTACTTACTACGTACAGAACCAGCGGATAAAAGTATATAAAATTGAGTGTACAGAGCTGAATTCAGATAGGTGTTGTTGTTAAAATGGGTGTGTATACATTTAAATAAGCGAAAAGACACGTGGATTACCTACTAGTGACGGAGACGAGTGCAAAATTAATTAAATTGTATAATTATTAATATCCTAAATGAAACGCGATTCATGTGGTAGTGCTTTTTATGCGAAAATTGTATAAAAAAATGAAATCATTTGTTCGATTTGCTGGAACTAAAAAGCGTTTAAACAAAAGAAGTCAAACACATTGTGTCTCACCTTAGGAAGTAGCAATCAATAATTAAAATAATCAATTATAGTGCCAGACTAGTGGTGGATTATTTGTAAATATTATAAACCTTGGAGGGAAACACACACATAATTGATGATTTTCGTACTGTGGATGCAAAAAGTCTTAATAACTTTTAGTGAGTAGTGCAACTGGAGGCAAAAAACACACAACTTGGATTTACGGAGAAAATATAATTAAATTACCCGCTTGCATGGAACGATGTGAATTTTTAAAGATCGCACCTCGCTAATCATCATCACAATTTTGATAAAATTAATAATCAGATCTGTATCAAAAATCAACCTAAATTTATTTCCTGTCAAAAACAATTCTACCAAAACCATTTAAACACTATTTTCTCCCTGGATTAACTCGCTAACCCATATGATAGTCCACACCAGAGGACTATTTTTCTGCATGTAGAATAAACATCAATGTATACGAGGGATCATCCTTCAGTGACTGCGCAATGCAGATCTTTCACTGGACCGGCTGTCAGGTGTCATATAATAATAATTATTTTTAGAAAGTCCAGCCGGTCCACGATTCAAACGCGTTTTAACCCTTCACAATGCCGCAGCAGAGCAGTCACTGGGGGATCCGATTGCAAACACTTAAGTATGCCAAACTGTTAAAAGACTCGTCTACTGTGTACAATTACGATATAATTATAATACGTACAATTAATTAGTTTTGATACACACACACAGGTAAACACCCACACATACACAGCCTCCTTTAATTTCCGAATCCAAGCTGCTATACAGATTAATCAAATTGAAATTGAAAGTGCGGATCAAAGATAGAGAAAAGTTGTATACAAATCTAATCTAATCACTCTGATTCTTGAGTCAATGGAAACAATTATGGAAATTTGTGTAAATCGTGTTATGATTATTATGCTGCTATCTATTAATTACGATTATAATTACTACTGTCTCTATATGATTGTACGCCTCCTGGAATTTTGATCGATACTAAATATATTTCTCTCTTCATTAAAAAAAAATATATCTAAACCCGCCGCGAGCTGTTTAATCAATTTTTAATTAAGTGCCATGATAATAAGTTGTTTTAGATATGCGCATTAAAAATGCCGATGTTGAGTTCTTGCCTTATTTGATTTGTGTAACATAACAAAAGAAGAGGAGACTGACAAAATGTTTTCTAGATTTTATTTGCCGATTAAAATTTCTTGAAGAATCAAAATTCCAGAGGCACTTTCGTGTTTTTCGCCACAGCAGGGGGGCGTCGTTCAGGACGAGATATTCGAGCAATTGATTGTAAAAGAAGTATATGGATTTATTGATTACTAACTCTAAATATTGGCGTCATTGCTATGTATAATAAATTATATTGGTGGTCTCAAACGCATTCTCTCTTTACACTCAGCTGATGTATTGTCTCTCTCTATATTCACGCGATTAGGAGCAAAAATAATCTAAAAAAACGAACAAATTAAAAATTGAAAAAAAAAAATACAAGAATCTGTACCGTCTATAAAATTAAAGTATAATAGCGACATGTTCGATAATATTTGATTGTAATTTATTTTAAAATAAAACCATCCATAGAAAATTAAACTCGATTGTGATATAAATTTTTCAAAATTCACCCCTCTGTATATTTCAGCCTCGTCTCTCTCTCTCTGGTGGTGATGCGAATTTGCATGATTGCTTGTGACATGCAGACACGCAGGCCTCACTGCGGCCGTCCATCATTTCCGCGGCCGTCCTCAGGAGGCTTCCCCGGCCATTTCATCATTGCCGGACGGCGCGAAATGCGCCAATTTGGTTTTTGCCAGCTACACGAACCGCTCGGCTACATTTCAACATCCCTCTCCACTTGTATTTTTGCGGCCCGCCTGTTTTCGGGGATTGCACTCTCAACTCGTTCAGCAGTATTTTTGATTCCACACGCTCCGTGTGTTGCCTGGCGGGGGGTTTATTTTTAATGGAATTTTTAAAATTATTGCTCTGCTTGGTCGACACGCAGGCGAGCACATGATTTAACCCGAGCACTCAATATTCACGCGCAATCAAGCGCAATTTGCCTGGTAAATTGGGTGTACAATAATTTTCATACCATATTCAGTAATCCAGAGGCGACTTACATGCAGTGCAATTATTTTTTGCTCATCCAGTAAATATTTATTTGAGTTTGATATGTACAAAAAATCACACTTTTAAAAAAGTAGCTAAAAAATGTAAAATATTTTCGTTCAAGTCAAATCGTTTAAATTAAAATAAGTATACACACATATTTTTTAAACATTTTATTTTTTCATATTGTTTTATTTTTAAATCATATAATTTTTCTAAATATGGCACTCTTATGAAGCTCTTACATTTACACAAAGTATGTAAAACTATTTTAATATAAATTATTTATATATTAAATCCATCAATCTGCTCTTGTGTCCCCTATATTAATAATTTGAAATGTGAACGACGCGGTCGCGGAGTATTGGATCCCTGTGTTAATAAGAAAGTAAAACAGTAATTTATAAATAAGATTCTACAAGAAAAAAAATTATGTTTAAGTAATAATAAAAATAAATTTTAAAGTGAAAATATGGTCAATTACTGTTTTTGAAAATGTCATTGTGCTTGTTGCGCCCTAATGTGATTGACCTGATAAGATAATTTATTTATTATTTTAAAGAATGATCAATACAATTCATAGAATACCCTAATATACTTAATGTCTTTGTAAAAAAAAAAATCATTGATTTCATTATCATTGTCAGCTCAATTGAATTAGTTTATATTATTTGATTTGCAGTGTTCATACGGTGCGATTTAAATAATTTTCTGACCGCTCGAGAAGCAAAAAATTGTTGTTTTTGAAATCTGGCTCACTTCCACTCTTCATCAAGGTCTTCCACGCAGGCTTTTCATCATGTATGTATGAATAATATTTTTTTTTCACTCACCAGTACTTACATACATAAATATAAAGCTCAGCCACGGCGGCGGCGGCGGCGGTTGATGCCTATTAAGAGCATTTTAATACAAAACTCGTCGTTAAAATAAAACATGAGTGCGTTTAGTCAGGGCAGGTCTGCGCTGCTGCTCCTTTGTATGAAATAACAAGCTGATACACATTTATAAAAGTGAGCGAGCGAGCGAGCGGCTCGCACGCATATAATATTTTTCCCTGGGAGTCTCTCTTGATTTAGACCTCATATTTTTTGCACTGCTCTCGTGACAGCACAAGGTGGATACCTTTGGTTTTATACATATATATCTATCGGCCGCTCTCTCGCCGCGTCTATCATTATATTTATGAGATAAGCTCCGCGCGGCAGCTCAACCATTATTGGTCATTAAAATAAGCAGGCAGCCATCATAATTTACGCCGGCCAGATAGAGATGAAAGCACCTTGGGCTTGATCACTTTTTAAATGCTTCTCGTCGTCCCGTTCTGCAGCAACGAAATTATATCCCGAAGATGAATGACAGCCTCTGCACGAGAAACAGAGACGCAGAAGAGGTTGGGCTTTTCCTTATCGACGGCCCCATCGCACGCGACGAAATTATTTTGATCGATAGACACTTCGTCGAACGAATTTGATATTTTGATTTGCATCTCATTTCATCCTGCTAGACTTGTCTGCTATTTTAATTGGCTGCAACTGATTATAGTAATTAAAAACGCCTTTGCATTATAAATCAAAATTTTTGTATCTGATTATTTCTAGGATAAAAAAAATTTAACTCACTGTCACCGTATCCTTTACAAAATGAAAATAGTCCCTACAGGTTAGCCCAATAATTGAGGATTATTCACTTTAATATTTAACAAATATAGAATGTATTGAATTTGATACTTGAAATAGAATGAAATGCAATAATGTGAATGATCCAATAACAATAATGTATTTATTTTTTAAATATATTATAGAATAAGCCTATATCATTACGTTTATATTATATAAAACAACAATATAAAGATTAAATACTACTTCACAATGCCAAAACCAGGGATTTTTCAAAATCATATTAACTGTTCTGGATTGGGTCTGAATAAATATTAAGTAATTATTACAGTTGTGGAGTTGCAAACAAATATTTGAGTGCTATAATGGTAATTTAGAAACAGCAACGTCAAAAAGAAAATACATGCTAAAAATATAAAATGGTACTGAATTTAAAATTATTTATTTAAGCTTTAATGGCAAAAAAAATCTTTACAAATGTATTAATACAATTTTAAAATAATGTTTAAAAGCTTTCTATTATTTATTAGTCCGCGCTACTTCACACAAATTAGCAAATTAGTTAAATTATTTTTAGTACATTTACATTCATACATATTACATGATGGCAATGTATAATTAATATAATTATTACTTAATTATATTTCTTTGGTTTCTGTTCATCGAAAGAATTAAACATGTACACAATGATACAAATTAATTTAAACATTTATATGTTGTATTGAGGTATAATAAGGACATTTTCACTTTTTTTTTTACTTAAGTGCTTTCAACGTCTCTGCAAAGTGTCATGCCCGTGCAGACACCCCGTCTGCTGCTGCGTTTCGTTTTCTCCTCTCACTTTTTTTTTTTTTGGTAATTAGATTTTCTTTTTAAATAACGCCCTTCTTATCAGGGTGCGTGTGCGGCTCGACGCGGCGTGTTGAAATGGAAATTTTGTATGTCGGCAAGCGAGGAGCCGCCATAGATCATGCAAGAAAAATTAAAATGTAATTTAAAGAGGCTGTGTGGTGTCGAAATCTCGATAAATTTGCCTCCCCCTGAGCCGCGCCGCTACAAATGCATGCTGATGAGATATTGATGCTCCATTATTATTAGACGCGCGCGGCGGGGCTTTTTACCCACACTCTTGAGAGAGCAGACGTGTACATAATGTAAAAATGAATAAGTAGAGCCATAAGTAAAGGCGGCGTAGCATTTCGCCGTGTCTGCGCGCATACAAATATTGCCCCACAGGCTCAACCGCAGCAGAGACGCTTTTTTCGCCGCTTTTTAAATTCGCCCGCCGTGAGATGAATTGGCGAGACGTGTCCGAGAAGTGCTGTTTTGCGAACAAAATTGCTTTTTCAGACACTCACACGTGATGGCCGTTAACTCAGTCAAGCATTCCTAATAATGTAAAATTAAATCCATACGATCAAAAGCATCAATTGATTTTCTGTTATACAATTTTTAATTGATATATGAAGCTCGTCCTCAAAACTAACACAAAAAATAAATTATTTTGAGTGCAAAAAATCAAAATGTGATCACATTTTAAACTTCTTGGTAGAAGTTAGTGCATCATGACAAAGATATCTGAAATGAAGATAAAGGTCCGGGCTTTAACCACTTATCATATTTCCTATTTTTTATAAAGATAGACTCAAGCGTTTTAATTACTAAGCAAATTTTTTTCTATAAAACACTCAAAAAATATCAAATTGTTAGTCTGTGGATGTGAATGCTTTATCATGTTAATATTTATTCTTTTTCTTCTAAAATGCTGGAGGTATTTATTTTTACTGCCGTGAAATTTATTTCATTTTTATTTTTGCTATTTTTATTCAGAAAATAAAATGTAGTTAAAACTTTAACAATTAAATTGTAAAAAATATATGCAAACAAACATTAAATATTATTTGCTAATTAAAAACTTAAACAGAAGTTGTCACTGGAAATGAAGAATGGTTTTTGCATTTTGAGCACCGCCTCCGTATAAGTTGTTTGGATTCTTCGGTCCCCGACTGTGAGGTCGTATTTCATCATTTTGTCCACACCTACGAACATAATAAAAGAAGATCAAAATTGAGTGGGTGGTTTCGAATTACAGACAACACCTGGCCAATACAATATGTTAATTTTAATTAAGTTCCTCGGAATTGAGAGATCTCCCTAAATTAAATCGATTCGATCAAGTGACGGTGGCGGATTCGAAGGCTCCCTGTTATGCTCGGCGCGGTTTATTTCGAGAGAGAGGACTTTCGCTTTGTTCTTTATTCGCATAAGGACGTTGCTGCTTTTCTTTTTATTGCGGCGGCGGCGGCGAGAGGCAGCCGGGGGTTTGCCCTCTTGCAGAGAGATAAGGTGTGAGGGTGATTAATGAGCGTTTTGTTTCGCGGAACGCCGGTTCATTCTACGCGCGGTGCGCGATAATATGTACTTTGTGTAAAAAGCATTCAATGGAGCACAGAGAGAGAGAGAGAGGAGGGACACGTGCTCCGAGGCATGCACAAAAGAAGCTGCGCAAGGAAAAATCCCTTGCACTTGCTGTTTGATGTTAAATACGAAGTTGTTAACTAGTGAGAGAGTTAAATTAGGACTACCATCCGCAAACGACAAAAATAAACATTGGTATAGTGGTTGGTTATGCATAAAAAAAAATTAAATTTAAAATTACTAATCTATTTAAAATGAGATTTCTATTATAAATTTAAAAAAAAATAACGGAATATTTTATTTATTTAACTTAAAGGTGTTTTAAAGTGCCCGATACTGATTATTTATATGTGTATTTTTCCAGTTATGTTTAATAAAATTTATAAAATCTTAGCAATCATCAATAATTAATATTTATCATTAAGTCAAAACAATTGCTTGTCATTTAAATTGCCTTTGAATGGGTTCTATATGGCATATATGGAAAAAAACGATGTTAATTAATACATACGTAATGCTAATAACAATAATTAAATAAAAATAAGCGATCATTCTGGCGTATTTGGCCAGGTAAAACAGGATACATGAGTGTTGGGATATGAAAATATTTTTCCATCAAAATCAAACCCGAGCCTCTGCTATTTCTGTAAAAATTTTTATACTCCTTAAAACATTCTCCTTGCTGCTAGAAGCTTTGCTCATAAGAAAAACAAACATTGTTTCTAATTGCACGCATTTCACGGTTGAGATTATTTATCTCCTCTCGTCAAAGTGCCAATTATTTTTAGCAATTTTAATTTTCCTCTCTTCCATTCAATGCAGACTCGCGGAGGTGCCGCTGCCGCAAGTTGGCAAGACCACCCAGGTGCGCGCGAAGCCCCTCATTGTTAATCGCAGCGCTCATTTTTCCATGTCCTCCAGTGCGAATATCAAATTCAAGATGTCCTTTCCGGAGAGAAAGAAAGAAAGAAATAGAGAGAGCGGTTATGCGAATGTATAATTAAAAGACGCGAGCGGATGATAAAAGTTATACAAAACAACAATAAAAATCGAACCGGGCGGGAAAAAGGAGGAAAAAGAGCGAAAGGGGAATTTGCAATTCAATCGTATGCGCGTCATTCATTCACAAAAGAATTTGTAATGAGTTTGTAAGGCATAATGCCATTGTTGTATTCGAGTCTTTTTTGTAATACACAGAGTGATACACACGATACTTCTAGAGTGGAATGTGTCGCGCGGCGCTCTCCTTGCACCTAATAATTCGTGGGAACGCACGCCCTTCTTGTGTTTTTAAATTCGCGAGAGCGAACGAGTGACGCCGCTTTTTCCGAGAATTTGCGCCGGCGCTCGCAGCAATTGTCAAGTTAAATTAACGTGTCAAGTTGAGCAATGCGCATTCTGTGTCTGAAATGTGTGAAACGTTAAAAATTGATTTAATTTTATTATTTCATCAATTATTTTTTATATTTGTTGGCAAACATTCAGTGAAAAGTTTTAACTTTTAATATTGAATGAGGACAATAAATTAATAACATATCATGAATAAATTAATTAATTAAAAAAAAACATTAGAATTTAAAATTAAAGTGAATAAATAAATATTTAGTGATACTTTTTGAATAAATTTATAGTAATAAAAGTAATACTATTTTGATTCTTTTAAAGTATTAATTATTTATGTAGAAGCAATTGGCAAAATATGAGTTTTTTTTTAGTTCTATCAAAATTTCATAGCATCTCAAACTTCCAGTTAGTACAGATTAAAAAAAAAACAATAAATTTCAATTTAAAGATAAAGGAAGCCCCGGTGTCAATTTGTTCAGATAAAAACACTCCTTTGCGATAGCGAATTGCCGCTGGTACGCTCTTTGCAAGCGAATTCGGTACACAATTTAAAGTTCCAGCAGAAGACACGCGGCGGTTTGCAGTCGGCAATAAACGCTGCTCTCGGCGTAAATTACAGAATCACGTTTAATTTGCTCGGTTGGGATATTGGAGAGGCTCACGTTGAAAGCGATAAGCCGCTCTCTCAAAAGAAGCAGCAGCGGAGCAGGATGTTGTATGGCCGAATAAGACACAGGCGAATAAATAATTACGTACATGGAAGGCTGGAACTGGTTCAGATGGAAAAATAATAAAGCGAAATAGCTTAGCGAGAGCTCTTTTTGGAGAAGGTGGGGCGGGCTTTTGATTAAAAACACATTTTGCCCTCTCAAACCGTTTGGCTTTTTTGATCGATTCGTTTTAAAAATAACCGGCGAAACACGAAAAGGATCAAAGGGAGTCATAAATTTTGAGAAAATCAGAGGCGCGATTTTGGGGCGACGCTTTTTATTGCTGACAAATGTTCCGATTTCGTTTTAATGAAGAAAAACGGTCTTGGTCTCTACAAAGTGGTTTTTTTTCAGGACATATATCGAATTTTTTGCTCCCTTGCAAAATATTAAAATTGACCAAAATATATTCATATTCTTCCAAAACTCGCCTGACGTCTTATTGATGAAAGATTTGATCAAAGATTTGCTTCAACTGATTAAATTTTTTGTTAAAAAAATAATGGGCCCTGAATGGGAGAAATTCTGGTGCACCTCATAAATATTAAACAGCGGTCTGTCAATCAATTTGTATCCTTGCTGTCGATAAATACGAATCACCGGTGGAATCTGTAAGATTGAGATATCTCCTCCATGTAAACACAATAAATATATAATACAAGTGTGTTTATATATTGAAAACACATACTCACTCTTTTGAGAGAGCGCACACGGTGCTCAAGCAAGGTCTCTTATATTTACAGAATTTATTGCTTAGGGCAAATTTCGAAATTTATGATTGCGGTGCACACCGCTGCGTCTCGTCCAGACATAAATTCTGATTTTCTCGCGTCCTGATTGCACGGCGCGACTCTAATTAGCTTGCAATTACTCGCTATTTCCCCTCTAGATTGCATCAAATAAGCTGTTTAAAAATAAATAAGTTTATAAAATCTCTTGCGTCAAAATTAAAACATTTCAATTAAAGATGGAACAAACCATGATCCCTGTTTAATGAAAACAGCTATTGAGATATTATCTCAATTTAAAATTTTCCCAATTGCACTTAACATTTTTCTGACAAATAATATCCTTTAAAATTTTCACCGTGACCTAGGTGTGTAAATTATGAAAAAATGTAGTTATTAAAATTAATTTTGATTAGTGTATATATTTTACCTACATTATTGAATTGAAATTATGGCGTTTAACGACAATCATGGAATATCTTATTGTTAGTATCTTATAATATACGTTGACAATGTAAATTTTGATGTCAGGTAGCTACCCATAGATCTGGCCAGTTTTTAGATAATAAATTGTAAGTGAAACCTGAAATCTATTGCTATATTTAATACAAAAAAATCATTAAATTTAATTGGGCCTTAAAGTCCACACAAACTCTTTAGTCTTTTCCCAAAATGTTAAAAAATTAAACCAGTTAAATCAAATAAAACGTTTATTTGTTGTCTAGAGTATATCAAAATTTTAGTAGAAGCTGCTCAACAATATTTAATTTAAAAAAATAGAGGTGTCATCCTTCACCATTACCTTTGTGAATTTTATTTTAATCAGATATTAAAATATAATAATTCAATTTTCTTTAATCTCTAAAATAAATTAATTTAAACAATTAAAAAGCAATGATATATCAGAAAGAGGATGGCAATGCGGAGAAACTTATGAACTTTGCAAAATTTTGTTTAAAAAAAATACAGTTTCACTTTGGCTCGGATGCCATAAATTTGAGCAGTGCGCGCAGTAGTCTGGAGATAATTTTTGTATTCTTTCATCTGCATGCCTGTGACCTCATAAATAGGACGAGTGGAAAAAGTTTTTGCATTTCTTACATACACACACGAAGAAAGCAGAGCCAGTAATGGATATGCCAACATATTTCACGTGCAGAATAGAGCGGAGGAGCCACATGCAGAGACACACAGTCCGAACAAACAAACGGCCTCGTAAATTTCTCGACAACACGAAATTTGATACACATAGAATTAAAGTAAAGGCGACTGCTCGCGAGAGAACTCTCGTCGGTGTTATTTCGTGCGCGCTGATTGTGCAAAGGAATTTTCGCATTTGAAAAACATGAATCACGACACTCTTTTTAAACCGCGCGACGCCAACTTTTGAAACGACACTCAAAGTGCAGCACGTTTCCCAAGTCAACGAGCTAATACAACAATAAATCGTTAAACCGTGAAAAGCACTCAAGTATGTAGAGGTACTTTTGCGGCAGACGAATGCAGTTCAGGGTTCATTGTTGCTCCCGCATTGTTGATTCGTTATTTTCAATGGACTTCGTGTCTGTATTTAAGCAACCAACAACATTGTAGTCGTCTTGATTTTTTTGTAAGGTATATTAATCTCTATAAAAAGGTTTCTTTTTCTCAAAATAATATTTATAAAAATTTCATGTTTTCGTCAAGCAATATTAAATGTTTTCAACACTCATGGTTGATTTCATGGAAAATTGAAACTGGTTGTAAAGAAAAAAATTAAACACTGGTTTTTGTGGCTGTTTTTTTTTCACTGATTGTGAGCATACATAGGCCAACTTTGTCCCAAACTATCTGGAAGGA